TCATTTTCTCATTTCTTCGCCAACAACAAAAAAAGAGCATTATTATATAATTTGTTATGGGAAAAGTTTTCTTTATTTATTTCCGTAGTTAGACGTTATAATCGTTACTTCTTACTGTTCGTTCCTTTATAAAAAGTTCTTTATTTTTTTTTTTTCAATATTATTAATAACACAAGCTCATCCAAAGATGAATAAGAAAGATTAACTCAGCTGGGACCAAATCTCAGATCCCCACTTATATGTAGAAGCTCGAGGCACTTAAGATTATATTCTTTAAGAAATCGGTTTTTTCTAAACGTGTCAAGGTTCTACGTATTAAGGATCAACGTTGAGAGTCGGGCTATCTCAAGTCCTATTGGGTGTTGCATACATCCCCAAGAAGTTAATATAATACTATACCACAAATGGTGTAAGAAAATTGTATACGGCTGCGACTGAATCTCTCATATCCACCATCTTGATCCTAAAAAAACCGAGAAAAAGAGAGTATTTTTAAAAGACACTGCACAGACGGACAGAAATGGCTTAATCGGTTTAGAATCAGAACATGTACACATTATAGGGTCTATGAAGCTTCCTTTTGGGTGTCCGCCTCCTTCAGTTGGTGGGTATAATAATCTAAAAGTGTAGATCCATTTTATTAACACAATAACGAAGAAGGAAACAAAAAGCAAATTTTGAGAGATTTTTACCAAAAATCGTTTACGTAATAGAGAAAGAAAATAAGTAAAACTCATGAACTATGGGTGTAACATGAATATCATATCTGTTATTTTCATTTTGCTTTTATTATTTTATGCATGGAAATATATTTAAAAATATTTTGAATACATTTTTCTAAAATAATTAATTAATATAAAAATAAATTTAATAATAAAATAAAATTAAGAAAGAATGCAATAAAGTACAAGCTAGTATTACAAGTGTGCGAGTTAGATCTAAACCTGACTCCAATCTCGAACATATATCTTTTAACAGAATTTTTCATCCATCAAAAGTGATCAACACTAGACAGCAAGGGAGCATTTACAAAGCTTAGAATTCCGGAATTAAAGGCGTGTTTTTTTTAGACCAACTAAAAACCAATTAGACCAATTAAAAACAATTTTGTTTTGGAAAAATCAAAAAAATTTATCGAATCAAATTTTCTCCTTTGTAATTTATTGAGTCGATTTGCGTCGTAACGACCGGATGTTGGATTACAAATTCTGGCTGACACAATAAATCGCCAGACTTTTTTACACAAGTAGCGACGACAAGATGTAGCGGACTGTTGCAATAAAGTACTGTTTCATTGGCTGTAACAACAGAATGCCAAAGTTTTTGCCGAGCGAATTAAAACACTTTGTGCTTTGGTTCTTGTACGCAAAATGCAAATTTGTCATCTTGTAAAATGATGGAAGACCCGTTGAATGACTTGATTTAAGACATTTAAGATAATCTTGTCTAAAGGCTTTAACATAATTATTATGGTGAAAATTTTAAATTTTTACAGTGGCTGTTTAAATGATTTGCAGATACGGAGAGGGAGTTAATTCTGTTCTCGATTTGAATTTGAGAAACAAAAAAGCTAACACACACACTGCCGGAGAGTACACAAATAAATTATCATTTTCCTAAGAAGGATATCGCGGAAAAGGTCCAAAATTTCTTTTAAAAAACTTCAGAAATATTATTTGGTGATTGTACGATTACAAACGGGACTAATGTGGTTCTTTGGTGGCTTGGACAATACTTCCATTTAACATGCGGATCGGTTCGAGCGTTTTTTAGTTTGCAGTACAGCGAGCATTAAGAGAGTTGTGACATGTTGAAACATTTGCTTTTGTTTTTTACATCGGCTGCGCGTGGTAAGGGAACAATGTGCTTCGAAAGCGTGTTTACATCATAATCAACAACCTTTGCCTTACAGTACTAGTTTTCCCCCTTTAAGATTTCCATATAAATTGCACAAGTAGATGTGGAAAGACTTAGATTAATACCTATTTCAAGTTAATAGGCTTTTACTTATTGCAGAAGAGTGCCATCCATTTCCAAACTTGATAGTGGATTATCAAATGAGGAGCTGTACACATGGCTTCAAACCTCTGTTGCATATCTTTCGCAAGCGTTTTAACAGTGAATGGCGAAAACTACTCTCAATAATTTGATTCATGAGATTTTCTTATGTGCTTTTCTGAATTCTATAAACAATTTCGGTATAAAAATAACCATTCAACAGGATTTACAAATTTTAGAAAGTTTTATTTAAAAACAAATTCTGACATTCAGGAACTTCATAATCGATTTAGAACGCTATTGACGCTATGAGATAAATCTTTGTTGCAAAATTGGATTAAATCGGCGGCACTCCGGGGTACTGAAATGGTTTGTATTGAGCCCCTCCCTACCCAGAACCCAGAGCTGGGCGCGTTTCTTTGCGAAAGTATCGCTTGGATGTTGAAGTCCAACTGCCTGTTTTCATCTGCTTTTTTTTTATGTGCATGCAATATGTGGATGTAGCCGTACACCAATAATATCTCATGACTGCTGCCGTCTGCTCCTTCCCGTTTTTATATTCCATTAAAAAATTTTGTCGTTCTGACCTTGTTGCCCGCCAATCTGTCGCAAACGACAGCTCTAACTTCTAAGCCAATCTCCTCCTTAAGTTCGATGTTGCCTTCTAGTTCGCCCGCAACACTTTTATGAGTAGTGGTGGGTTTGGCGCTCAGTAGCATATTAAAAGCCATTAACAGGCTTCGGACGGCGAAGACAAGGACTGCAATGTACTCCACCGTATTTCCTTTTGGCGTTAATCTGCACCCGAGCATCCTGTTTTCAGCTCGGTTGTAGACGGTCTTTTTATTTGTGTATACTTCATCGAAGCCGATGACGAAAAGATTATTAGTGTTTCTTCCGTACAGTTTAATAACATGAATCCTTCCCGTCGAGTTTGAAGTAAATACGAAAACTTTGCAATTGAAAGAAAGAATAAGTTTTTAATTTTCCAAAAAATAAGTTGGTTTTTTTGGCGATTGAAAATAATGACATGTTAAAAAGTAGCTACAGCCATAGCAAACCACACGACAATTTCAAAGATGAAACATAAAATATATGGCTTTTTACTCGCATTTGTGTTTTGTCTCTTTTCCTCCTTTATCTGCTTCACTATCCTTCTTTTGTGCAAAATTTGTCAAATCTAGTAAACGGCTGCAGTAACCCTTTCATACTAAGGTAGCTGACAAGGCCGTTATAACACTTATGTAAAAAATGCACGGAATGAATAGGATGTAGAGTCCATTAAAGGGATTATTAAAAGGTCTGTTGAGAGGGTTAATAAAGAGGGAAATTCAGGGAGTGATGTAGAGAGAGGGACGGTGGGCGAGAAATGAGAAAGTGGTTGAGATTGGGAAAGGGTTGCCACGAAGGACAGGCGACTATTTCGCCGATATTCTTTTGACCGTGGCTGCGGGAGATTCTTTGGAACTTGTCCATTTGGCTGTAGCCAAGAATCACACACTCTATTTTACTAGGTTGAAATAAAACCGTGGGGATCGGTGGGAAAAACATGAAGCTCAATAGAATCCCCGAGCAATTAAGCCAAGACATTCTCGAATGAATCTTTCCAATGTTAGAATATATTACAGAAGAAAATTTCACTCATTATTTTTGGTGCGTGCTTCTGTCACAAACATAAATTTCTTTGCAAGTCAGCCTAATTTCAAATTCTAAAAAAGGAATTCAAATCGAATCACGTCTTTTATTCAAATGAAGACGGGAAAGAGGTAAACTGAAATGAAGAACGTGACGTATTATTACGACTCTAAAAATTTGACTAATGTTAAGGTGAAAAATTCACCAGAAGGAGAACTACCATGACACCTAACTACGATATAGGTCATCATTTTTTTTGATATTCCGCTTTTGTCTCGTCTTTTCTGCCGTGCCACAGATTACAGACTTTTATAATCTATCCTATGGTTGAGTTCAGTCAGATGAAATAGCATTAACGAAATCCGCGTTGAAGTTTGAAAATTTTATAATAAGATAAACCACCCAGAGAAATAAAACCTCTTAACAAGATAGATTTTCGATGCAGGATTCTGAACTGAATTGGACGCAAATTTATTACACCTCAACAGAATCGCACATAAGAACAGAATAAACTCTACTGATATTTATAATTACTTTTAGAAAAATTTGGAAATATTTTCGATCGTCCGATTTTTGCACTATCTCTAGAAGGGCATTCATAAATTTAATTTGACTATTAGAATACCATCCGGAATGTGGTTAACTGATTGCATCTTCTTTATTTCGTAGAGTATACAATAAGTAAAATTCAAATCATCTGTATAATATCTATTGTAAACGTTTCCTGTAAAGAGGATGTACTGTGAAGGTATGTATAAGAAGAAATTATTAAATTTTGTGGCATATTAACTATTGAGAAAATTAATTATAAAAATAATAAAGTTGAAAAACGTAAAAAAATATATGAGACCAATAAGCTGCTCAACGCGCCGCGTACTGAAAAGCGGTGTCGTGTACGGAAATGCGCCAAAACGGTGAAAAATCCCCCAAAAGGCAAAATAGTTTCCTATTCTTGCTTGAGAAGTAATCATCATATATATATTAAAAAAAATTATATCTTTTTATTAGTATTTGATAAATGTTTTTTAAAGTAAAGAAAATGAGTGATATAGAAGTACAATAAAATTAAAAACTAATTTATGACATAAAAAAATTCATTTCAATGTCCTGGTCCATCAAGAGAAAATCCCATTTCATTTGTTTTAATCAAGGTTTTATTTATTTAAAAATAAAAAAAAAAAACAAGAATGGCTTATAAATATTAAGAAGAATTAAAAGGAAAAAATTTATTGAAATATATAATATATGTACATATATATATAAAAAAGGGACTAAAGCTCAAATGAAACAGTTTTGTACAATGATCGTGAAAGTGGGTTAAAAAAGGAGAAAATAAAAAAATTAAACTATAATAAAAATAACAATAACTAAATAACATTTAAAACTTGAGACGGAAGAGATCACGTAATTAATTATATTATAGAATATTAAACGAGAAAGAGAAAATAAATTATATAAAATAAAGATTCATTTGATGGTTTAAAATAAGTTGTGCGTTATTTAATGAAAATTAAAATATAAAAACACTAGAATGATTTCTTATAATCTGAGAATTACACTGAGCAATTTTGTGACGTTACTTTCTTCGAAAAATTCAGTCATTGCTTCCTATAAGCGATTCTTGTTGCTCTTCATCATTTATTCTGGCAAATAAGAAAGGAAATATAAATAAACACAAGTAAAAACTTTACAGTGGGACACAGCCCTACAATTAAATACCCTCTTCCACTTCCCTTAATGCAGCCCTTCATGTCACAACTTTTCAAAAGAAGATGGCACGTGGGTAGTAATCGAAAAAGTGCTCCGATTCGCACCGTTTTCAATAGCATTCGTTCTTGAGCCGACACAATAAAATATCTTAAAAATTGCGCCCTAGCGGTTGGACACAAGAAAACAAGGAGGACAGAAAAGCTTTCTGGCCCTTGTGTACATCCACACAAACTTAGTGCACCCCGGTATCACAAGTGGTGTGTGGTACAAAAACAGTGGCACATTTTGTCCTTCTCTAATATTTATAAGATTGTATACTTTGTAAGACCCAATTTTCCAACATCGGGAATCACTGACGTTTATGAGAAAAAAAGGTCGTAACTTTGTATTTCTTCAGGCCGTTCTATATGAATAAATTTAAATTCGCCGATTCATTTCAATATCTCAAAAATTCCGGTCCATCGATTGAACCCTTAAGAACTGGACGGACAGGCGGACAAACAGGCTTAAATTGCAGATTTAAGAATTATTTTTTGAATCGATCGGTATGATAACGCTGGATCTATTTAAAGTTCTTTCAGGTGTTGTGTAAATTTCTTGTAGTAGAAGTGATGTAGGGTTTAATTGTTTGATTTACTTTTGTGTTTTTTTACTTACCTTACTATGCTCGGCTTTTTACAACTAAATAGTTTGCGATAAATTATTTTTAATAAACGCATCAAAGGGTCAGTGTCATCATTACGCATTAAAATGGCCGCTAAAAGCAAAGCCATAAATATGGGTATTGAACCTGCATAAAAAATCGGAGTGTAAGATTTCTTTTTTAAAATGACATCGAATAATATGGATAACGGAATTTGTAAGGACAAGGCTAATGTGCCAATCAATGAAGAAGTTAAAAAACAACCCCTAGAAGTAAAACAAAATTTAATTCCATTTATTATGTTATAAAATCTAAAACATTAACTCACCAAAGCCATAACGCTTCTGATAATACGGTACCAATTAAACCATTTAAAATTAATATTCCAAATTGATTTTGATTCGGTAATTCGAATTTTTCGATTTTTGTAAAATTTAATATGAAAAATATCGGCCACATTAATAATACGTTCCAGAGACCTACAAAACCTGCAAAAATAAAAATTCGTTTCAAAAAAAAGGCAACGCATCAAAAAGAGGTACGCAATGAATTAAAGCTTCAAATCCGGCTTCTAGTACATTTTTAAAATCACTTAAGCAAAAATTTCCATTTCTATATAACAATTCTTAATATGTCTTTGTTAATTAGTGTAGCGTATAGGAAAGTACCGGTTGAATGCAGCAATTGTAGTAATGGGAAAATTTCTGAATATTATACGTGTTTCTTTTTAGAGACGCTTTAGAAGCACTGCTTTAAGGCAATTCTAAACTGTCACAAATTCGTAAAAGTATTATTGAAAAGAAAAAAAAAATTAAACATTGCAGACTTCGTAAGTAAATTTCTCATTCATCTCATTCATTACATTAAAAATTAGTGTAGTCTTTAATAAATTAAATTGTAGAAGAAAAAGAAGGAATTACCCGTGAGTACCCATCTGAGTGCTGAGTGAGATTTACATAAATATCTCTACATTCATGTATGTCGCATGTGTATAGATATCTTTCGTTTTTACAATATTGTTGGAGTAAGTTGAAATTAGCGAGCTATAAAGATATAGTGGAGGTGGAGCGGAAGTTACGTATAGTGGAGAACGCAGTTGAATGTTGGGTGTGTATTCATAAAGCTCAAGTCTCCATTTGCAATTACATCAGGTATCAATTAAACATCAATCCATGCTAACTATAAATATATTGTATAGTATATCATATAGTTAGCGACCGACTTACTTTACTTAATTGTTTTGAATTGGTGTCCTAATATTCTAACGTCTCTTCAAGTGATAGTCTACTATTTAATTATTTACCAACGATCGGTTGCAGTAATTTGAATTAAGAACAATTGAAAATTTCATAAACAAACCCGGATTGGTACGTACAGTTTCCATCTTTTTCTGCGGAATGCGGGGACTACGAGTAATTATGTAAATGTATGGTCCTAACCTATAGCGTCTATTCTTTTACAAAAGATTTGAAAGACTTGAAAATTCCTTTTCAGGTCTAAATTCTTGATGTGATCTCTTTCACTATCTACCCATTACGGAATATAGGCGATCACGTTTTCACATAATATTACTGCCTAAGTTACACTATTCTATTAAATAAGGTCCTCAGGACTTCAGCATTGTATATGCCATGTGCACATGATATTTTTAGAATTCTACGGCAACATCACATCTCAAAGGCTTCCAGTCTGTTCGTTATACTGGATTTTAGTAACGATATCAAATTAAAGGAACTCCCACAAATAACGATTGAAATCATTTTCAATAAATCGCAAATGTGATACTTATTAACGAATGCTTACTAAAAGAACACCACTGATAAAATGAGATCGCATGAAAACTAGCCGATTTGCCAAGAAACTAAACTCTAAAAATGGTAAAACCAAGTACAGTTCCATCATGCAGCTCATCCAGCTGGCGACTAGCGGAGGGATTACGATCAGCGTGGAAATGTCCCAATAAAATGCGTTATTGGTAAACTGCTTGTAAAAGGGGCTATAAGCAAAGTATTTGGAGAAGGCAAAGTCAGTCAAGTGAAAAATGTTGAATAGTAATATAAGAACGGGCAGGATCACAATTAACTTAGTCTTAAAAGGAGTCAGCTAAAAATCTTAAATGCAAAAATGCATTTTACGTAACAATATCTTTACAAAGTGAAATTATTAATTCCTTAAATCCTTACATACATATATATATATAAATTTTTACATTTGTTTACGGAAGAGTATTGTTCAAGGTTTTGTTTTGTTGGCGGATGTAACCTGGAAATAAAAAAAAAATTATATTTACCAAAAAATAAAGGTATATCTAATTTCTCTTCCGTATCGCTTTTTCTTTTCACAAATACCAAGTAGGCAGCATAGAAAAATGCACTGAACAAAGCCAATAGAGCACCACGTGAGAATTTCGTATCATGAATATCGCTAATTGATATGGTTATCTAAAATGAAAAGCAAGAAAAATAAATAAAATTTTGCTTATGTTCAATGCGATAATAATAAGAAAATTCAAGATAAGCACATACTAGGATTTGAACATACAAGCGAAGTTCGCTTTAGTGCCAATCTCGTATATTGACTATAGTATATTAATTTCATTAGTTTTGACAACGATTTTTATTTCAAGACATTTTGAGAAGTTATATTTTCTTATAAGATTTTATTCGATATTACAGGCCCTTCTGTACGAAACTTTTATGATTACTTTAAAAGATTACGTAGTACAATCAATTTTTTTACAAAGTCAAAACGGTCGACTATTATTTTCCTAACCAAAATCTTAATAAAAGAGGCTGAAATAAAAGGCGTTGAAAACTAGAGTCCGACGAGATAAGTTTCGTCATTCTATAGTAAATATGGACGATATCAAATGAAATAACTTAGAGAAAGGAATACGAAAGTTTAAGTATCACCAGTCAATAATAACCGTAGCGAATGTCACATATCGATGCATTTTTCTCTTAATAAACCAATTTATAAGGATATCAAACAAAAAGGTTTGAACAGTGCGATACGATAAGTTGGTTATTACAATTCAATACTAAATACGGCAAGCAACGCGAAGAAGCGATTGTATTTTTCAAATAAAAGATCTTGGAAAATAGAAAGTGCATTGTAATACACTAAAAAGTAAGCAATTAAAAATTTTTGTAAAATAAACTTTTGGATGAAAGGACAAAAGTATGAAATGTAAACTTTTTTATGCATTAACGCATTTAACTTTGGATTGTTTAGAAAGAAGTTGAATTTCTTGCAGATTAAAATCTTAAAATCTTAAGATTTAAGACTGAAATAAGCAAGTACATCGTTCTGACGCGTTTAAATTCTTGATCGTCATAAAAACAATTGTAATGCATCTATCTCCATGAATAGACTATAAAATACGTAAAATCAAGTTTTCCCTAACTAATTTAATTTTCGAGGTACCGATAGCTAAATCAACCAAAACGGACCAATTATATCCTCTTTTTTGTCGACTTGCCGTAGCGGCAAAAGAGAAGACGGTGTTTTGAAATTTGGCACAAACATTCCTTGGCCGATTAAGCTTGTGAAGTTAAAGAAATGACAAGATATGCTTAAATGAATACTCACAATATAGAAGAGAATAACACAACCTCGAAAAAACACCCATCCTTTTTCTCTCTCCCGTAAACATATTAACGAAAACTTGTGGCAGACATGTTCCTCAGGACCGCCTTCATGTGCAACATGTCCAACAATTTTCGAATCGATTTACTGACACGCTCGTAATGAACAATAAAATTTTAATTCCAATTTATTTCCAATTGGTGCTCACTCACTTTGACATATTCCTCATCCAATTACAAATAAATTGGAATGAAGATTTTGAATTTAATTATCGACGTATTAGTAAACCTATCATTACGATTTTTGGGGCGAATATGCCGGTAGTTTTGGGAAAAATTTGAGTAGTGGATTTTCTGGAATATGTTCACGAGATCGAAAGTTACGGAACAAAATACGAAAAATCGTCGACGTTTGTTCAATCAGGATCAGTAAATACTTGTGCTAAATTTCGTTTTCTTATAATCCGTTCAGCGACTCGGCACTAAAAGGATTAAAATAATCTCTTCTGTTACGAAAAAGCTCATGCGAAACGTCGGTATTTCTAGTGTTATATGTTATCGAAATCGAATTGCTTATAGAGCTGCTTAAAAAATGTACATGATACATCACAGATATCACTATCCAAATTAAAGTAATTAATGTGGTACTTATTAAATATAATACTAAAGAGGAGGGAAAGAAAAGAGTAACTTACAACACCACCAATATTCATGATAACGGCTATAATTTTCGTTATTGTAAATTTGTCGCCTGTCGAGGAAGGAAACAATGCCGCCAGTATTAGGGTAAACAGTGATGACGAACAACTTAATAATGTGACTACTGCAGTTTCAGTCATCTCCAACGACACTTGGTATAGATAATTGGCAAAAAACCACTGCAATTATGATTTAAAAATTTGAGAATAAAATTTATGTTGGAGTTAATTCTATATAAATTACTTACTAAAACACAAAAGAGTAATGCAGTTTTAGCAGTTTTATGATGAGATTTCTGACGTCTAATGCGCATACTGGCGGCGTACGAAAGACGAGCCATCAGAGCTTCTGTGGCCTCATGAGCAGACATTTCACGTACTTCAGCCATTTTACTAAAACGCACTGAACGTATACTGGAGTCATCACTTTCTGTTCCCGAAAGAGTGCCATTTGAACGTATCGGTATAAAAGTGGGATCACTCTGTAAATATTTAGTTAATTAATTAATTGAAATTAAAAAGTAACAAAAGCTGGGTATCCCTACCAAAGAGGCATGCGTTGAATAGTAATTTTCATCATCCGTACTTTGATCCATTATCTGGTGGCAAGTTAAGAAAATTTTTTAGTAAGATATTGTAGATTTCTTTAATAAATATACCAACCGAATAATTGGCATTTTGTCTGTCGCAGGACTCCTTCCATGGAGCTATTAGGCCAATTACCATCAAATAAATGGTAAACAGAGAAGTTTTAAAGTATGTACAAAAGAATGGCTTTTCAAAACTTTCATATTCATAAAGAAACTTTAACATGAACGAATAAAGGAAAAATTTGATTAATTTAAAAGTATTTATAGAAACTGTTTGTCACTCGCTAACCTTTGTTAACTCACTGGATGATACCCATATAACATCGACAAGTATTAATATTATTAAACCTAATGTTAATTTTTGGGTTTTATTTAACATTTTTCGACAATTGGGAGGTTTTAGTGCTGTATGTGTGCTTCACGCAACGGCCTTTTGTAAGTGGACTCAATGAAATTATGTTCGCGATTGAAAATTGCGAATTTTATGATTTGTTTTTGGTGGCATTTTAGATTTTTGATATTTGTTATAACTTTGCCGTTAATTAATACCACTCCTGGTATCTTGTATTTTAAATTATCCTCAGATCGATTGCTGTTACAAAAAAAAAAAAAAAATATTTTTTATTTAATCTTGTTTTTTTTTAATTGCCGCTCAAATTAATTATGGGTCGTTCGTAAGCACATTTGCGGCTATTAGGAGCAATTTTATTGATTTTCTCTTGTGGTAAATGTACGATGGAAGCAAACTTAGAATTAGGAACGTGAAACTATTTGTTATTCAAATTCAATACTTTTGCCCATTTTCGTTCTTTTCAAGGCTTAATGGAAAGAAATCTATGCATGTTTATAGAATGGTCTTTAAAATGATTTTTAATGAATATTTAAAGTGTTATCCCTTATACAACATACGCAGCAATAACGAATTTGAAAACTTTTCAAATTACACCACTTTCGTTTGAAAGCATTGAACACCTCAGTTTACATTTGAGCTAAATTTTGAAGACCGAAGCGACCGTTAATTAAAAAAAAAAGGCAAAAATGGCCCACTGAATAACCACCTTTTGTTATGAATAACAAAGGACTTGATTTTAAGCGTTTTTAAAATGCAATAATTCACCTTCAAGTCGTGAATAGGTTTGATGGATAAAGGTAAAATATTGTTTACTCAAAAGACGAAACCCTTGATGGTAATCAATCCTAAAAAATAAGTGTGAGTTTCAATCGCTTTGTGGGGCAGACTACGTTTGATAGACTTATTTATACGACAGGTGTATTATGAGTTCTTATATTATTAGACTTTATAGGTTCATGCTATTAACGCCAAAGGCATTTAGTATTAGTTTTTAATAGCTTTGTATTTGTATTTAAAGAATGTTTAATGAACACCAAATCAATTTTAAATTTAATAGCCTTATAAGTCATTTAAAATCACCACATAAGTCAAAGTACTTATTAGCGACATTATTTAAGCGCGATGACCTTGAAAAGTGATTATGTCTGAAGGATTGCACAAATAATTTCTGCAGCAAATGATAAGCTTTGCCAGCTAGTCTTTGCCAGTTCAAGTGGAGATTTTTATTTATCTATTTTCTGCCCAGTTGAAGCGTTTGCCAAAATACATCTGCGATTTACAATAAAATCAATATTTCTATTTCCATTTAAGACACCCTCGTTTTATATTTTGAGGTTGATTAAGTGAATTTTTCATTTAATTGTAGAAAATACACGAATCATCATTTAGATATTACATCAATTTTATCTTTAATGATGCACGATAAACTGAGTAATGAGGTAGTTACCTTCTACAAAAGAATGAAAGAACAATGACGATTTATTGACTGCACATTGTCCGCACTCTTTTAAGGAAGCAATTAGGGAGAATTTGTTTAATAAATGTCAACGTTTGCAATGTAATAAAACTAACAAATTGTGTGCATATTTTGGAGTCGTTTTTAGACAAACTTTTGTAAGAAAATAAATTAAATAGAACGTAACAAAAAGAATTCTTTCAAATACTCTTCTAAAACAAACAAATATTTTAAATAAATAATTGGGCGGACGGTAGCTGCTAACATCTGTTAGAGTTTAGATGTTGAGTTAGGATGGACCAGTGAGACTTGTGGCTTATCCATATCTGGTGGAGTGTAACGAATTTTTATCACTGATAAAAAAAAAAACAAACAGGAAAACAAGCTCATATAATTTTTTTTTTGTCAGGCACCTTCAAAACTTTTCCGTTCTTCATAACAGCTCACAATTTAGTATTTTTCGCAACTTTTTTTTGCGGTATAGCTCAGTTTTTTGTCAAAAATTTGGTTTTAGAGGTAAACACTATTGTTAATATCTAATATTGAATGCATTTTTTTTTTTAATATGTTACACTTTTACATCAGCAAAATTTAGCAAATTTATTTTGATATTAAACATTTATATTTTTTATGAATTTCTGTAAAAATCTATAGAATAAAAATCTATCTCTTTTTATTCACATTAATCACAGAGATGGCAATAAAATCTTCGGTTGTCGATTTAGTGAATAGCAGAAGAAGAATAAGACATAAAACACATATGTAATTATACAATTGAAACACCTGGTTTTTAAACACATGTTTAAGCAAATTCCTTTTATTAATTTTCAATACGCGTGATTTTATTATTCTTCTTTTCAAAGTAAAAGTGAACTTTCATTATTCTTACATTTATTTCGGGAAAAGAGTGAAAACTAAAACCTTTAATTCTTAATTTTACAAATATATTTTTTTAAGTCAACACAACATTCAAGGGAAGAGACTTGTAACTTTCGAATTTGTTTCATTCACAGGTGTCCCTCTGAAAGGTTGTTGTTCACAATCTCTCTTTTCCTTAGGCTTCGGCATGCTTGGTTTGTGTCCAAAATCCCTCTCTTACACGTTGGAAGATCAAAAATTGTCATACCCTTAAACCTGTGGACTTTTGCCGACGGCTAAATGAGCATAGAGTATTACGTTCTTTCTGCAAAAAGCAGAGAATTCAACGTTGGCTTCGGTTGCCTACCTTTAGATGTAAATTAATGTAAATTTATTTAAAGTTAAAAAAGGAAAGAAAAGCCACAATATGCATTATTTTTTTATAAACGGTTTATATATTTTCACTTTATTTTCACTTTATTTTATTTATTTATATGCTTTATTCACTACTTATCCACTACTACTGTTGTTTGTGTTGTTAAATTGCCACATTGTTTGTTTGCTTGCATAGAATTTCAGCAGATATTTTTTATTGATAAGCAGAGAATTTGGAATAAATTACGAACTTTTGTCGACGGCTTTGCAAATTAGCATAGAGTATTACGTTCTTTCTGTAAATTAGCATAGAGTATTACGTTCGCTCCGTAAATAGCAGAACATTTAGGTACTGTTTTGTTTAATTTGATAATAAAAAAAAATTATGGCGGTCTACTTTTAGGCTAACTTAACAGAAAACAAAGGTCCGACTGTTAAATGCAAAGCCGCCGGCAAAACAAAGAATAGGAAAAGAAAAGTAGTGAAAGGTAAGTAGTGAAAGTTAAAACTTTAGGATATTTGACATCTAAGGTTTCTTTATTTTTTATTAATAAATCTATGTTTTCATATAAAATTTCTTAATTTCTTCAATTTTACAGGTTAGCCTAAAATTAGACCGCCATAATTTTTAAACATAGCCGTTGCTAAATTCCCTGTTAAAAGGCAAAATCTTGTAAAAAATAGTCTAAAAATGGCAGCTCTTTTAAACGGTTAGAAGCCCAACTTAACAACTTGACTTAACAACTTAAATGGTAAATGTAGAGGAGATGATAGAAGAGCAAAAGCGACCAAGTCAAGGAAGAAGAATCGCAAACAATCAGGAAACCATTAAAAAGAATAATAATTTCTTTTATATATATATATATATATATATTTTTATATATATTAATAAAGTATTTTAAATGTATAATAAAGCTATTATATAAATTTATTTATATTTAAACATAAATTATATAAGCTAATAACAGGAAAGAAGTTTGATTTTCCCAATGACAAATCAAATCGGTTGAAAAAGTGTTTGTTGCTATAAGCTCCAACTAAACGGATGTTTTTGGTTATATTTTTGGTTATACGGTACGTTTTGGGTGGCCTAAAATTCAATTTTGGGTTTAATGTCAACAAGCGCTTTTTATGAAACGTCATTGGAACATTTAAAGTCGAATGCCCGGTTTGTTTGGATTCATCATTAAGAGCCAACAATGTTTAAACATAAATTCTTCTCAATGATGAGGAGTGAAATTAAAGAAATCATTAAATAGCATAAGCATAACTATAACAACACTTTGTCAATCACTTAACTTTCCACAATTTTAGAGAGTGTCCACCTATTTCGCCGCCCAACTGAAAAACTTACTAAAATTGAGGGATGATTTTGCCATATGTTTTGCGAGCTTAGTCAAAGCTGCCTCTTACAATTTGTATGGGGTAGAACTGAGAAATACACCTCGCTCCTTTTTTTTGTGTTCATATGTGTGTACGTTATTTGCGTAGAGTGTTACGTTTCATAGAGGCGCTGTCCGTAAAGATGCGTTGCATATGGACAGTTCCGCGTTCTGTTATGAATTTAGGCAGTAGGTACATGCTTCTCTTTTGTTTTGTCTCATGTCGAAATCCAAACGAAATTGAAAGATTTACACTAAAACTATGTTTAGTAGTAACGTTGATTTTAAGCAGAAATTACATTCTCCGCTTATTTTGCAGATAAGCGTTTCGAGTCTGAATGAGTTAATAGAAAATTGTTAAATGGGAAAAGGTTTCCAATTGTTGCAATGTACATTTTAAAACTCATTCGTATCTCTTGTTTACTGTACAAATATCCATGAGAAAATATATCTTATTTTAAATATTAAGTATTTCTTTTCTTCTTCTTCTTTTCTTGCTTGTAGAGCAAAGCAAAATCAATATAGTTTCACCGGTAGATTAAGTTCATATGGGAAACCATTGATTTAAAATTTCTATAATAATAATAAATTATTATGAAAATATTCAATCTATTGGTTCACCTAGTAATTTTGAAAAAGTTAGTTTATATATTTTATGTATTTTTGAACAAAATTATTTGAAAAATTTTTATTATAATTTGCCTATTCATTATATTGTATATTTATTCATAAAGTCCACGGATAATATTTGGATTAATTCAACGATGCTCCTTCATTGATCGAATCATCATATACTGGGTATTTTGAAACTTACTACAAAATTCAACTGCATAGATAACACACTTTTAAAATTACGGCGTATATCTTCAATTATCTTTATTAAAATTGGTCGATTTTCTACTTATTAAAATCCCACTTTCCTTTTCCTTTTCACTTTATAAGAGAAAAAAAGCTCATCTACATCAGCAATCAATCGATAAAAATAATAGTATGGCTTAAATTGTAGTCCTATGGTCAATGTTTCATTTTGAGAATAGAAAAGAAAAACAGTTAAATGAATTTGTTAGTTTAGTTTGGTCAGGTTAGTTTGGGTATCAATTCAATCTGGACTAGACACGCCTTGATGATGATATTATCCGTTTCCGATATTGAAATTTAATTGTAACCAGTAATAATGTTGCTAAAGGGAATTCGATAGGATTGCTTTATAATTGCATTTATATTTCTCAAGCTTAATTCTCTGAAATTGGGGAGTTACACGACGGAGAATGTTGCAAGAAGACATATTCAATAAAACTGGTGTATCGACTCGGCAGTTCGGCAGATCATCTTTGTGGAACAAACATGTGTTTGTCTAGCGAGGGTAAATTGTTAAGTATAACTTTGTGTTCGAAAGTTGACAATTTATTGCAATCTGCAAAGGCGTTCTTAACTTATTAGAATTATGCGGGCTTTTTTAAAATCGCGAATAGCTACAAAATCAGTCTCTCTCTTCCTGGCTTGCCGAAGACTTGCCGAATAGCGATAGTTATCAAATCGACCTTTACATTTTTCTAGAGCCTAGAAGCATCATAGCTAGCATAAATAACAGTACGGGCGAAAGCCGAAGCGAAATAGTTTACTTAATAAAAAATTTCAATTCATTAAGATTTATATAAACAAAATTTATCTGCGGGTTTTTGCCTTTTCACCCCCATGCTGACGTCGTTTTTCTTACATCATCTCCTATGCCGAGCTAGATTCGCTATTCTATTATCTAAAATTATTAAATTGTTTTGCTTTCATTTGAAAAAAAGTGAATGTGTCATCGTATTCCGAATAATTAAATTCTTTTTTTTATTGAGACCCTTTTTATTCCGTTTTTATATTCGCTTGCGTCTCCTCCATGCGCTTCACTACACACTAATGCACGGTGATAACGTTACAGTCTTGTCATTCTTTCAAATTCCGTTCATGCTTTCTTTCTTTCTTTCTTTCATAGGACCTACGTAGCTTGATCACATGTGTTTGTTGGTCCAGTGGTACATATCAGCGGAATGCGACACTTCCATAGGCCGATGGTAAGTTTGTGGTCATCTTTATTTGTAAATTTTGTAATTACATTGATGTACCTTTGCGGATATCAAAAAGATCAAGAAGGTAGGAAAGCCGCACAGCAGCGATCGTCGAATGATATCTTTTATGTATTTTATATTATTTATGTATATTATGCATGAACGGGGGCTTAGATCTCTTTATTATTATTAAAGATATTATATAAATATTACATAAATATATTACAGTTTTAAGTCAAGTCTATAATGGTGTAGGCCTGCAGGGGCGCCAGCCATTTAAAAAAATTGGCAACGCGCCTATAGCGGTACCTCAAGGGCGGCGTGGAAAACCGTCTCAGAGGCTTGCTGAACGCGGAGTGTGTTAATTTAGTTGAAATGCTGAGACCATCGGTGCGTATATAACTATAAAGTCAACCATTTTTGTTCTTCTTCTTTTTTTTCGTACCTTTTCTTCTGCCACTAAATTAACTCAGATTGGGTGGTTGTGCTGTGTTCTATTCAAAGTGTTTATTTATCTCCTCTGTTTTTTTATGAGCTTGTTTATATATGTAGACCGCTTCCTTTTTATTAAAAAAAAAAAAAAAAAAAAAAAAAAAATTTCAAATGAAGCGTACAATTTTAACTAACTTAATTGAGCTGCATTGCCACTTGATCGTACATATAAAACCGGATAAAAAGTGGCAAAAGTAAAAGAGCAGGACAACGTTTTGAAATTTTTTTGCCCTCAACTTGTCGCCATCGTATATACTTTTGTTTATTAATGTTTTCTTGTGGTTTCATGAAAACTCTATTAAATTTTTAATGAAAATCTTTTAAAAAAAGTGTTTTTTTTGCATAAATTGTATATAATGAAATTTGAATCTGATGAGTAAATATTCCATTGCTTGCCATAAATTTTTTTTCAGTCATGTTGCTATAGCAATAACTGCAGTACTTTTGTTATGTTTTATTTAGACCGTTTCTGCTAACAAGGCATAAAATTTTCGTTTGTTAGAAAATTTTGCTAATACTTGACTATCACTCTGTTTTTTTTTTTTTTAGTAAATATTTCTTCTTTTTTTTTGTCTATTATGTCACACACTGAGGAAATTACGTGTAACGGTCGCGTCATAACGGTGCCTACACTCGAAGTGGTTAGAGAGAGTGAGTGTACAAAAACATTTTTTCGCAAAAATATTTTATGAAATATTCTTTTTTTTGTAGTTCCCAGCATGTCCGCTGGAACTAATATAGATTGGCTGCTGCACATCTACTACTCTCGTAGGGATTTTGTACGATGCAAGCGTTTAATTGACCGCGAACTGTATAAACACTTGAATGCCGAATATTTGTATTTTGTGAAGGTTGGTTTATGTTTTTTTTAATTAAAAAAAAAAAACAAAAGAAATTTGCAATGTTTTCTATCTAATCTTGAAGGGTTTAATTGATCGAGAAGAAGGAAATAATATAGAGGCGTTGCGTTATCTACAAAAAGCTCTTGAATTAAATCCCAAAAATATTGAAATATATAAAGAGATCGGAAAAACATTGTAAGTTGATGAATTTCCTTAAATGTAGAATTTCCAAACTTTCTGAACTTCAGAGAATTTGTACATAGACATATTAGAGATTATATAATGTATTATATATAAAAGAACCACCACGAACATGGGCATATCTACACATCCGTTCTTGGAACCCTTAAAATCGGAAGCGTGGAAGCGTAAACAAGTACTGTAGCATACATAAACACTATAGTGAGAAATGGGTCATCATTAAATAATCTACACCATTCTACGGTTTTCTATATATTTGTATGGGAAATTGGCGAGAAAAGTGGTCCGATGCGAACTATTTTCGATAGCGTTCGTGCTTGGGCCAAAACATGTCAATGTACCAAATTTCATCAAAATATCCTGAAAATTGCGATTTGCAGATAGAACAAAAGAAAACTAGAGCGTCGGATGGATAGAGAAGCTCAGACCGTTTCAGGAAATGGTTCATAATAAAGGTGGACATATTCCAAGTCCTTCTGCGTATTGCTTAATATACTCTTGTGGTGCCGGGCTTGAAAAATCATCAAAGAAACAAAAAGTGATATAAATTTCGAAGTGAATAAATAAAGTTTCAAGTTAAAGTGTTAAGGTGACATTACGTAAGACAGTAAACTATGATATCATCGAAAATTGCGACCGGTAAGACGAACACAAGAAAATGTGACAGACAGACAGACGGACAAATGCGCGCCGATGCGAAAAATGATTTTGGGTCGATTGGTATAACAAATGGTGGATTTATCCCAAGTCCTTGTGGGTGTTGTATACATACATACAAACTTAATATGCCCTTTTGCCACAAAAAGGGTAGAGTACAAGTAGAAATTTTAATCATTTATTTTCAACATTATAGTTCAAGTTTGAAAATCTGCTTAATCTGCCCTGATATCTACAAAGCCGAACCGTCCAGAAAAGCGAGGTTTTCGCTGAATTTTTTATCAAGGATTACGTACTTATATGATTCCATTTCCCCTTTATAAATGGTTCATCTTCCGACTTTTTTCTATATACTATAAGCCAGATTAGTTTCGCGGCGGTTGAAACCCAACTAGTCGTTTAATTTAGCCAATTCGTTGTGAAATTAACCGACGTTTAGGACTAACTGCCGCCATCAAATTAAGATAGGGCATATAGATTCCTCTTAATATGAACATTTCAGAGCCGGTTTAAGTCTGAAATTGTAAAAATTACAACAATTAGGTTGTTAAATATTCGAACGCTACTCAAAGTAGTATTCCTAATGCAATTTTGTGCGGATGTGTATAATGCTCAGAAGGATTTTAGATGGATCCACTTTTTGTTATTTACTAAGCCGATCGATTCAAAATCAAATTCGGGAGCGATCTAAGGTAAGCTTCACTTGTCTATTTGTCGACCGGTCTGCTCGACCATGGATCCTTCGGTTCAATCTACAAGTAATAATTTTTGAAATGTTTTAAAGAAATTTAATACCTGCTGAGGCGTTTTAATGCGAGGTGAACTCGATTGAAAGTAGATTGGATGTGTGTCCATTTTCGCGACCATTTTCCATACTTCACCTTATTTTGAAAAAGGCGTTACATGAAAAAGATTCGCAATTTTTTAGACTTCTCGACAAATATCGTTGTTCGGCACAAAAAACCTATTTATAAAATCTTAATCGTGTATTTTGGCAAACCCCCATATAACTTAGTTCATGATATATAACGCTTTACATAACGAAAAAGTTTAATTTTTCAATATTTTGCGATGAAAGTTAGTCCACACTACTATGTCGAAATAGAAATTAACTGTATCAAATTTGAACCACGCATGACTATTTTTTGGGCCATACGACATATTATAGTTGTTAGGAAAAATAAGTCTTTATGAAGAAAATAGATAAAGAATCATCAGATCATAAGTGAAGCTTGTTAAATTTGAACCATGCTGGTTCACATTTTTGGACCTATACTTTAAAGCTGCTGTAATGAAAAGTATGTTCTTATAAGGGCACAAGATAAAATATTTTTTCTTAGATTTGTGATGGGTCGATATAATCAATCGTTGGATACATTTCGCGAGGCCGAAGACTTATCAACGCGTTTGGATCACGAAATTTTTCACTTCATTGGTGAATTGCTTTTACGTTCGTCGGCTTCACGCAATCAAGTCGAAATGGCGCTTAAGGAACAACAGGAAGCCAAGCAGTACTTTCAAAAGGCCATACAAACTGGTAAAAAATTGGAAAGTTTTCAACGCTTAGCTGAAATACATCGCAAGGAGAAGGATTACAGCAAAGCCATTGAAGTACTTGAGAGTTGTTTACTGTAAGTAACCTTATGTCTATATTGTATTGTACTTTCATAGACCTACTCGACGCCAATATACTTCTTTTGAGGTTCTTCTTTTCTTTTTTTTGATATTTTAAGTTTTGCGCGCGCAACACTGCGCAGTTCTAAGTATTACAGTTAAGATTAATTTCCGTTTTTTTTTCTGCACACATACTCTCTAGAATCTTAATTTGTAGGTTGCTTACAGTGATCACTTTATGCCTTTCGTTCCGCTGATCTATGATTTTTTTATTCAATGTAGTCTTTCACCCGAGAATACTGAAGTATTGACGGAAATTGGTGTTCTTTACTTGAAAATGAACGAAACCCAGAAAGCCTTCGATCGCTTACTTGAGGTAATTCAATTCGATAAAAAATGCTTGCGTGGTTTAATGGCTTTTGGTGCAATATTGCAGGTAATTTTTATTAAATAAGAACCATGAAGTTCTGGCCGACGTTTTATTCCTTTTCGATTTTGGCTCCTCCAAATCATTTTATTATACCCATTACCGAAAGATGAGGGATACATTCATTTGATTCGATGAGGGAACTATATTCAGTTTGTCTAAACGTTTGCTCAGAAGGGAGCATCAAAAGCCCCACAAAGTATATATATTCTTGATGAGCATTTAATTTTAAATCGGTTTAAGCATGTCCGCCTGTCCATCTGTTGCAAAATTTAAAAAAAACATTGGAGGTTCTTGTGCGCAGGTTGGTATTGAAAATAGGCCAAATCGGTCGAAGAACACGCCCACAGCACTACGTAAACAGAGAACACCTTCGTTTTTTCAAAAGGAGTGACAAATCGGTTTTTCACTTGAAAGCCTATTCTATAGGCGAGGCCGCAGCATTTGCGTATAAATTAAAAAAATCGACCACGTCTACCCAATATTATAGTATATCAAAATTTAATTGTTTTTTCAATACCTTTCTAACGCGCAGAAACAAGCTTCAAAAACAAAAATACATAAATTCTTGGCCAGTTTCAAATTTAGAATGCACCTAAACATGTCCGTCTATCCCTCTGTCCATCTGTCTGTTTGCGCAATTTTGTAGCATTTATGATAAACATTCTCCGATTAGCGAAAATGAAGATATCGCCTACAAACTTACAATAGAATTTGGAATTGATCTGAACTTTTGAAAGGACACGCCTACAACGCACATATGCCTGTACGACAAAAACTTTCATTTTGAATATATAGAAAATGAGCTGCGCCCACTCGATATTACAGATTTCTTTTTCCTCTTTTCTCTTGTTCTTTTTGTTCTTTTACTTCTTTTATCTTTTTTTGGGGTAAACGGTGATGGGTATAAAAGATTCGGCCCCTACCGAATTTATTTTTCTTACTTGTTGTTGTTTCAATCGTTTTGTAGTCGCGCAATGATGTTGACGCTGCTTTAGTAAAATATAAAGAGAGTGCGGCTTTACAATCAAATATTCCAGAGCTATGGAATAATATCGGTTTATGTTTTTTTAAGAAGGAAAAATTTATTGTGGTAAGCTTTCGCATTTAAAAAATGTGTTTTCTGACAGGCAAACACTTTAAGCTGATGTTATGATCAAAAATTTTCTTTTGATCGTTTCTTTTGCATATATGCTATATATGTGCTTTTGCGCAAATGTGTGTTTCGCGCAGGCCATTTCGTCGCTGAGGAAAGCAATTTGGCTATCGCCACTAAACTACAATTCTTTGTATAATCTATCGTTGATTTATATAAGCGGTAAGTATATTATTTTAAAGCCGTGATCTAGAGAGAAAAAGAAATCGAAATTCTTTTTATTAAAAAACTCTTATGCTTAACCAGCAGATAGATTTACGAGGTCAGAAATCATAAAACGCAAAGTCCGTCTGTGCAGACATTGATCCAAATTGCAAGGATTGGGAAGGAGAGCTAAAACCGTAAGAAAATTATGAAAAAATCGAAATGCGTCAAGATTAGTAAAGCGATTATTAAGCTTTGACTCAATTGGAATTGTTTTTTTCTTATTGTTAAGCTTGTAGGTATAAATTTAACATCAATTCTTTGTTGTAATTTTGTTGTGTTAGTGGTTTTGAACTCCCTGCATAACTCTTTTTTTTCAGAAGTTCTAGAGCTGTGCTTAAGAGCATACAGTTTTTGTTAATTATTTAACATTTTCAAAAAGGCGTGTTCAAAAATAGTCTGTGACTTTACGCCCGTAGATACGATAGAATTCTCTAATTTTGTTGCTAAGCCACAAAAGTCGCAAAAAAGTGCGTATGATTGTTTATGGGATTGTGCTGTGTAGTTTATACTTATAAGTACCGATGAGCCGCAAGTATTTGCTAATATAGCAATCGATTCTTAGAAGCTTTTTATAAATCTCTGCCTTGGCGAATTAAAGTCATGGTTGAGCCCGGTTGAATCTAAAGCCAGTAGGAAGACTCGTTTTCAGTTCCTATTAATAATTGAATACATTTGAAGTAAAACTCGAAAGCTGTCAATGTAATGTGGGAAACCAGATATAGTTTTCTTTGTTGTTTGACTTCGCCTTGAAATTAAGGTCAGGGAAATGGAAGGCGTTTACTTTAAGCACGACGACGCTATTTGTGAAACAGTTCGTGAAGTAATGGCTCCATTGTGAGGTTAATTGCAAATGACATCTGTTGTTGGAAGAGGCCTACAAATATTTCGCAACAACCAACAAGATTTTTAATGTGGTTTTTATTTCCACTAACTCGTGATCTAATTAAAAAATTGCGTACCCCGATGTATATATTTTATTGTTATGCACACCTTCGTGCTATACTGTATAAGCTTTGTGGTAGAGGGTGTAATAAGCTTGTGTAGATGTATGTAAAGACCAGAAGGACTGCTGGTAGACTCAGCTTATATAAGGCCTTATTTCGAAAAGTTGTTAAAAAAATTGCTATTTTCGAAATTGTTCAACGTAAAAGATTGTGTAATGGTATTTTGGCTCTCTAAATTCAAATCGGGCGGATCAATTTTTTGAACCGCCTCCCTATCTAGGAAAACTGAATCCTTGTATGGTAAAAAAGTCTAATTTTTAGCATTTCATGGGAGGGATTGATCCATAGCAGTAACATGGCATAGAAATTAACCTTACCACATTTGGATCGCCTAGGTCCATTTTTTGGATCCCATCTCATATTACGGTTTTCATAAAAAGTAAGTCCTAATAGGGGAAATATTAAAATGTATAGTTTTCTATGAAGAAAATAGATGAAGGATAAAAGAAAATTAAACCTCATAATTGTGGACAGCGTCAGTTGATGTTTTGGCGAACTTTTACTATAAGGATTCTCATGAAAATAAGCCTTCGGATGAGCACAAAGGCTAATATTTAATATTACGAGTAAGAGCGTCAAGGCGATTAGTCTGCATGTATATCAAAGATTTTGTAATAAGCAAGGAATAAAACAGTTGAATTCAATTTGAAATCACGGAAAAACTCAACGACGTATTTCATATAATTTGCGTTTTATGTATCTTAGAGTTTAGTCAAGTTCTGTGATCACATTAGAATCAAAGTAGAAGTACCGTAACAATGCGCATACAACGCAATTAAAAATATATTTTGAATTTAATTTAGTAAAATGATAGATAATATGCTCTATATTAACTCCAGTAAGACTAAAGCTTTATTCTTCGATGAACCTACTATTATGGAACTGTATATTAAAAATTATACCTTTTTGAAAATAAAAACTTTACTTTCCGTAAAAATAGTTGTGTCCAGAAGTTCCAAAAATTGAGGTACGAGTTCGGCAGAGTTCATTTTTATATCAAATTAGTATTATGTGTCCATTTTCATCATAACATAATAAAACTTCGACCTTTCTGCCACAAAAAACCAAAATTTTTGTGAAAATTGTTATAAAGTGTAGGGTACAAAAATAGGCCTGGGTCGTGCAAGTTTTGCAAAGGTAATATTTATATCAAGTCGCTTTCATAGACCAATTTTCATCATAACATATTAAAATTAAGACTTTTCTGCCCTAAGGAGGACCGATATTCGTGAAAACCCTTATATACGGTTGGGTCCAAAAAGTAGACCGAAATGCTAAAAACTTACTACAGTTAATTTTTTGTCACAAATTACTATTATGATCTCATTTTCATAATGAAGTGTTGAAAGTTCGACCTTTTTGTCAAATTAACTTCAGGTTTCGTTATATGAGAGGGAGTTCAATAATATGCCTCCGCAGGTCCAAAGTTTTCACATCAATTTAGAGTGCTGAAGTACTATTACTTAGCCAGTTTTGTCGAGAAACTTCGGAAATTGCAATCTTTTTCCATATAACGATTTTTGAAAATAGAACGTTATATGGGCAGTGGTCGAAAAAGTGGATCGATCCAAACCATTTTCCATAGCGTTGTTCGTTGGGGCAGAACATGTCAGTGCACTAAATGTCATCAAAATATCTCAGAGATTGCGCCGTGTAGCTTGAACCCAAATTGAAATGACCTGACATCAGACGGACAAATGGGCAGACAGACTTAGATCGATTTGGAAAATGATTCTGAATCGGTCGGTATAATGAAAGGTTGGTTTATCTTAAGCTTTTCTGCGTGTTACATACATTCGCACAAACTGAATATACCCTGCAATAAAAGTGATGTATGGTGAAAATATCTGGGTATTCCATTGATCTTGTACATTCTATTCTACGTATTGGTGCAGCTCTTTACCGTAAGCTCAACTTTGGCTGCCACCTTGATAATGTCTTTGCCAAAGTTTGTCTTACGCTCCGAAAACTGCACGATCTAAGTCTGCAATATCTGCCTCTAAAGGTTAAACATAGAATTGCACATTCCTTCCTCAAGACGCATGTTAACTACAGCGAAGTTGAAGTCTTTCTTGGATGCTCAAGAAATAACCTAGTTATGGTTCAAAGTGCTGTCAACCGTATAACACGTTTTCTTTATAACATCAAACTTACAGAGACAATATCTCTTCCTTCGTTCATGCTTTTTTAAAGTTCTCCCCTTTCGATTAGCTAAAATTCAGATTGCTCAACTACGTCTACAAATTCGACCCCTCGACTCCTAAGTCCTTTACTTGAATGGCTGCAGTTCTCTAAATCGATCCTGGTCTTTTGCTATTCGTGTTAGTAAATGCTGGAATGCGTTACCACTGAGTCTGAAATCCTTCGACGATGCTTTGAATACGTTTAGGAGAAAATTGACTGCGGTCAATACTGAACTCATAATTTATATATTGTTACTGGTAATGTGTAAATTTATACAACACAACTATTACATTAGCAGCCATCTAGCTGGCGTGTATACTCACTTATGCTATATTATTTTTTTGTACGTGAAATGTATCTATGTAACTAGGTGATAGACTTATGGCTTTATAGTTACTTAATAAATGAAAAAATGAAAAATGAAACTTTAAAGGGGTGTAGGACAGTTAATGATCGCGGTTTCCTAGTGAGTAGGTTCTAAATTTTTAAAATTGCTTTTAAAATAATAACACATAATATGCATAGAGGTAAAGATTTCATATGAGCAATAAAAATTCTTCAAAATGTAAAACGTTAATAAAACAAAAATTAAAAGACCACAAATAGAACAAATCGAAACAATAACTAGCAGTGTACAATAAAGGCATGTTTTTTTCGTATCTTTTGTTCACAGCGCAACAATACGCGAGTGCTTTTCATACACTGGCGGCGGCCATAAACTTACGCCAAGATAATGCTGAATGTTTTATGCTGTTGGGAGGTAAGTAAGGCCAGTTTTAATAACCTTGCCTCAATATTTTAACTTTTGTTAAAAATATTTACATATAAATTAATTCCCGGAGGATATTATTCGTTCTTATTTTGTTAATTGGAATATTTTTAATATATTCAAGTATTTGGTTGCAGGCTAATCTTACACTTTACTTGCGAAATTATATTACAACAACGAATTTAGATGAAAATCGTTCGTTAGCCATAATCGTATCACGTGTTTTTATAACGATTCCTCACTTATGACAATCATCGTAATTAAAATATTGTTATTATATCGATCTATTCAGGATCGTTTTCTGAGTCGATCGAAGGCTGTCTCCCCGCCTCTCTGTCTGACGTCTGTCCATGCAATCTTGTGTTCAACGTAGCGTTCGCAGTTGTTGAGATATTTTGATTCATTTGTTAATGCATGCCCTATGCATCTCTGTCGCTCGTTCGGTGGATAAGCTTTTATCCTGCTTTTAAAATCTGCATTTTTTTTCAATTGGCACATGGGGGTGCAACGACACCGAATATTGGCGGATGTATAGGAAAGCACTTTGTTTACGTCTGCAACAGTATACTCATTCAAGTATGCAACGCTGGAGCGTTCTATCGCGCAGCAGTATCTTGTCATGAGACCAACTTATCACGAACATTACACGTTTTAGCTTTGATTTCAAACAAATTCGATTCGGAATTCCAGTGACTTTCGTTGATATTGGATATAAATCAATATGAAATAAACAAAAGATTAAAGTCCAAATCTCAAAAGTGACTCGAAGTCATACCGTGGCCCGATTAAGACTACAAATGCTCGCATATTTCGGAAGGTTGAAGAACACTGCTGCAAAGTAGTTTGTCACCATAATTTTATAAATAAAATATATGTAGATCGTAAAAGTGAGATTCAGTAAAGAAATTATTAAGGTCGCGACCTATGCTGAATATTTCGTTCGAACAGTCCGTGCTTTTTTATTGATTCCTTTGTGCACTAAAATATTCTACATTGATAACTTCTCAATGACTTTTAATCATTCTTTTTTGTTTGTAAAGACTTTGGTTTTAATTAAATAAATAAATACACAATAACATCAAAAAGAATCATATGCAACAGGTCTTGCTGTTCTTAAGCCTTACCTTTGAATAGGCAAGAATAAAGTATTCCGATTTTTCTTGACCGCTCTCTATAACTTCAATGCACAATGGACTTCGTAGATCTCTTATTGCTTTTCTCCAATTCAAGACAATATCTTGAGGAATAATTAGAAAAAGTTCTTTTTTATATCATGGCCAGACTTCTTAATTTTATAAATTTCCCGTGCAAGTAATTGCATCTCTGAAAATGTAAGATCTAGTTTAAGAGCTGTTTATGCGCTATACAAGCTGTCACATAATATTGGTATGCTTTCTAATAATAATATATATAAATTATATTTTAATTTTTAATTTCTATAACATGTAGATGACGCTATCATTTACTGAGATTATCTGTCTTTTTGT